TTCTATGACTGTTTGTTTTCTAGGGGTCTGGTGTTTACCAGCTCTTGTAGACTGAGAGGAAATACATCCTCCTCCCTCCAGCCCCAAGCCTGGAGGTGGGGAGAGAGCACCCCAGAGGAACAGGGTCCTCCAACCTAGGCTAAAATCAGGTTTCCGGGAGGATGCTTCTGCCTGCTCAAAGTCATTCTGTGCAGGTCCATAGGGTAGTAAGGGACTGCTTGAGTGGATCAGACCACAAGTAACCCGTGTTGTTCATCCTCAACGCATGACACGTCCCTCATGCTTCATCACCTTGGAGGCACCAGGCAGTGCCTCGTTGCATGAAGTGCATGTGGGCATCGACTGCATCTTCCTTCCTTTATTTCTCACCTCGCAGGAGAACAAGAGGATGAAACAGTGTTTGGAGGAAGAGCTGAAATCCAGGAAGGACTTGGAGAAGCTGGTGAGGAGGCTGCTGAAGCAGACGGATGAGTGCGGCAGGGAGGACACGGGGCGCAAGTCGTCCCTGATCGCCTGAGCAAGGGGAGAAGCTGCTGGCAGTGGTGTGTGACCTCAGGTGATTTTGGGAAGCGGAACTGGATCCTTTGCCTCTTCTTGCTCCTTATTTTGTTGGTTTGGGGAATTTTGTTACCAAAAAAAAGAGTCCTAGAGAAAAAAAAATATTCCATAGTTTTCCTTCCACGCAGTAAGGAAATAAAGCAGAAACAATCACAGCTAAACCAGTAAGCAAGCGGTCCATGATTCACAATTCATCTGCAGCAACTAATACCTCATCGTACCTGCTACTGGGAGCAAATACAAACTCTGCTAAATGATTGCTGCTCACAAAGGGTTTGGCAGCAGTTTCCTAAGAGGAAGCTTGAGCACTTTTTAATGCTTTCATTCTTATCAAAAGCACCGGTACCTATTTATTGAATGAAAACATTATTGAGGTGGCATTGAGCAGAAACCAAAAAGCACCATGCTCCTCTGTTCAGATAATCACAACTGGGGAAGCTCTTCCCATCCACCTTCTTGTTCCCCATTAGTTGACTGTAGCGAACTTAGAGCCCAGCAATACTGTGGTTCCCGTGTGGCCTTGATCCTGATTCAAATGTGCAATTCTCATGAAGACATTGGAATTCCTTGGGGAAGTGAGAGCTGGAGCACCTGTCAGAGCGCATGGGAAAGGTGTGTTGCGCAGTGCTGCCTCCCGACAGCTCATTATTAGCACAACAGGTAACTGCTCTTCTGTCCCCCCATCCCTTCCCTGATGCATGACCCACACCTCCTTCTGCCCTGCTTTGTTTCCATATTGAGTGTCCAGGTATCGTATCAGTTTAGAGTCTTGCTGTGCTTCCCCTCGCAGGACAGGCTTTTCTCTGTATGAAATATAGACACTGCTTGACAACCAACACCACCCCCAAATGTGCTGGTCCCCTGCTCCCTTCACCTTAGGCTCGCCGACGCTCCTTCCCAAAGGCTGGGAATGTAGGCAATGGCCACTTGTCCCCCCATGGCCCCAAAGGGGCTTTCTGCTAGGGAAAAGGAACTTTCCCTTGGCATAGGAAGGTTATTTATGCTTTGACAAGAGCTGGAATGCTCCTGGGGCACGGATGTGTGACACCCCTCAGATTCCTGCACAGCTCCTCGAACGCAGCACACAGACAACATGCATATGTATCAGCTATGTCCACCCTATTTGGTGTTATGCCCTCATTTAGAACAACTTTTCCTTCCTTCCTTAGCAGCATTATAAAAGTAACCTTCTGTTAATGATAAGTCTTATGTATATCACTGGGATCACTGGGCAGCATGGTTCCAGGGTGTGCAGACGCACCACAGCTCATGAGTTCATGGCTTACGTTGGTCATGAAGGACATAACAGAGGCAATAATTACAGCTCCCTCCTTGCAGTTAGAGTTGAGCCAGAAATGGTGTTTGGGGAGAGCTACGCTCCAAAACAAGGAGCAGGAAAAGAACCCCTCTTAAAGCTGTTTTTAGGCCAGAACAGAGGTTCTTTTTTGCTCCAGAGCATCCCTTCTGGATGGCAGCTCTCCACATCCCTACCCAGGCACACCGTGGAGTGGGTTGGTTGGCAGTCAGGCCCTGCTGTGCTGGTTAATCATATCCCATGGTGCTGCACATGGGATGTGGCTGTTCCAGGATGCCATATCCAGGCCCCCTGGCACTGTCCTGTCCTCCTGCCTGCCCAGAGGTGGGATGGGGACCAGGTTTAGGTGTGCAGCTCATGGAATGAAGCAAACCAAGGGCCATTCACACTCCAAGGAGAGGGTAAAAACGGTTCCTCGCTGCCCCCCGGTTGAGTTGAAACCCGTGCTGTGTACATATGCATGTGTGTGAGGTGTAACGTGGTGGAGGGCACACTGGGACTGTTTGGATCAAGCGTTTTGTCAAGAGCTAGAAGCCAAAAAAAACCAAGACAAGAAACTTAACTAAAAAGGAAAAGAAGCCATGCCGGATGGACAGCAATGTTTCCATATTTACTTTGTTTACAGCGCTTTGTAAATAGGTTCCAGTGAGTCTGTCTTTAGATGGATGTTGTGTCCGCTGCCTTCCAGTTTCTCTCTGTCATGTAGGTTTATTTACTGTAACTACTTATGCAAGTTCAACTTTTCTAACATGTTTTTATTTTGAACAGTTTTTTAATTGACATTTTCAACAAATAAAGAAGGACAAAAAAATCACTTCCTGGCTCTCGGGGCTGCTTCCTTCGTTTCCACCACCATGCTCTGGGCATCCCCGATATGCTCAAAGCGCCCATGGTTGCATCACCTGTTGGGGGGGGATACTGGTGCAAATGATGCTGCTAGCACTGGGTGCGTTACTCCCACCATCACCCTGCAGCAGAGGAAGGAGATGCGTTTCCATCCCTCAAGCCCTGCTTGCACTGTGCTACCAAGGATGCTGTATGGAAAAGCAGCCGCTCCCCGCGGCACCGGCAGGATGCTGTAGATAAGTGACTTCCTGCCTGTTTGAGATCTGGTTTTATTCTCTTTAGTTGGTGTGTGTGTTTTTCCTGGCATTTAGGTGTGGTGACAGGATTTCCTTTGGTCTACCGCTTGGACAAGACCTCCTCTCCTTTAACTCTTTGGTAGAGACGTGCCGTGCTCTCAGCCGAAGCAGGAGGCTCAAGCGCTGGATCTTGCTTTCCCTTCCCAAACACAGCACTTGGAGCAGGAAAAAGAACAAGAACAAACAAAACACTTGAGCACATGGTGCAGAAACCACTGAAGTCTGCAAGGGAGACCCAAGTGGTGCTTTGGGGACTTCAAGGAAGAGGCAGAGCAAGGCACCTCCAGCCCTGGGTGCCCCAGAGGTGGTGCTGGGCATGAGAATAAGGAGAAGGCATCCCCCAGGCTCATCTTGGAGGGAGCATCTCCACTCCCATGTCCCCATGAAGCCAGATCCAGGCTTTAACCAGAGAGCATCCTGCTTTCCTAATGCATACAGGGTCCCTTTGGTCCCCTCTCATGCCAGCTCCCGAAGGGCCCCTTTGCATGACCCAAATCCAACACAAGCAGCATCAGCATCCTCCAAGCAATGGAGCTGGGCTGCAAATTATCATCAACATGAAAAAACAGGAAAATAACCCCCAACAGCTTAATCTGCACAGCCCAAAGCACTGCAGGAGCTGGGGATGCCCTGGAGGTGCCCATTCATGGTGGGCTGCTCCCATTGACTACCCCAGTACTGCTCCATAGCATGAGTGCCCCCAACCCAAACTGAACTGGGGGGAGTAGTCTCCCTTGCCTCCAAGCAGGGGTGCACACAATGGATTTGGCCTCCTAAAAGACCCTGTCAATGGGGACCCTGCCCCAATGAGGGGAAAGGGCTGTCACCAAGCAAGGAGTGCCAAGGTAAGGCTGGTACCAAGGCACCCAGTAAGAGACCCTGCTTGGAAACTGGCATCCAGCAGTGCAATGGCCTTGCAGACCATCCCACCACCGTGTTAGGATCAGACCTGCAGCCTCCAGCCAAGCAAATCCTAAGCACTGGCCACATCTGAAAGCTCTTCCACTTCCAAACCGGTTGGATTCCAGCAGTATTCCCAAACCTTTGCACTCTGACAAGTGCGACCTGTACAACCAAATGCTCCAGGCTTGCCACCTTTGCCACCTTCAGATGCCTTTGAAGAATACCACATCAACAACCTTGGGCCCTGCTGTTGCTCAGCTCACCTTCCCTTCAGGCCAGGCTGGAGGAGAGGGTCAGGGAGACCCTAGTGTGCAGTGTACCCCCTGCCCAAGAGGGACTCCTGCCTGTGTGCACAGTCCTGCTCTCTTAGAGCTCCAGGTAAAGTGATGCTGTGGGCACGTCCTCCCTGAGGACAGACAGAAGATGCTCTTGGAAGTGCACAAGCACCTTGGAGGGCTTGGGAAGACACAGATGGTCCTGCCACCCCCCTGCTTTCTTGGTCCTCCTCTTAGAATAGGTGGAGCCGCACGAGAGGAGGCAGGTCCAAATCTGATGATGGTGGCCAAGATGCCTTCTACTTGCAGAGGTGGGAGGAGGACAGGCTGGTGAATGGATTCGGGTCATGAGAGCAGAGCACGGCTGGTCCCTTACTCACACTCTAGCTTGAAATCAGCCACCAGTCATCCCTCATGTACCTGGCCAAGGCTGTGTCACCCTGCATGAGAAGGCTGGGTGAGTTTCATAGACAGGCACAAGTGGAAAAAGGGCTTTCTCAAGACAAAGCAGGCAGTTAGGGTGGCAAGGATGCATCACCACCAGCCAGCGCGTAAGGCCAGCGCTCGGCTGACTGATTCCCTTAGAAGAGACCTTCCTAAGCCTTTTCATCTTTTTCCGCTGCTGTTTTGCAAGCAGATTGGTACAGGAGATGAGATAGGTATGAAGGATGGAGGGGCCTGAGCCATCCTACGTTGTTAGGAAAGATACGTTGATGATGGAGGTTGGTTTGTGACACAACGGGGACAATCCACCTTTGCAGTGGTGGACCCAGGTGGCAATGAAAGAATAAGCGAGGTGCAAACAACAACAGCTTCAGACTTTGTTCCATTTGTGTTCTCAGGGCCCCTTGGTCCTCATTAATAAATAACAAAATATACAAATTAAGAAACAAGGAAACCAAAGAGGCAGAGGGACATAAATAGGGGAAACAGGGAAAGCTCAGGACCAGCTCAGGGCGGTCCCCTCCTCACTACAGCTTGAAGATGCCGAAGTAGGTGATGCCCTGGCGGTAGTTCACTTGTGTTGAGTCTGTCACGTTGACAAAGACCATGTCACCTTCCCGGAGCTTGAAGACACCTCCCTCCCAGATGGACTGGAGCTCGCAGGTCGACGTGGAGGTTACGTGTGTGTCTAGTCCTCTCAGCAAGAGCCGGTCCTCTTCCATGGGGAGATGCAAATAAATATAGAGGGTGAATGGTGCCAAAGTTGCTTTCTTGGAGCAGAAGCTGACTTGGGAATAGATGTAGTAGAGTCCTGCTTCCTTCACCTTCAGTTTCCCCTCCTGGTAGGTTATCAAGTTGTTGCTCGTAGGGCCGTACATCGTCGTCTCCCACTCCAGCACTGTAGGGGGAAAGCATGGCAGATGAGTTGGGAGAAAGACATCCATTTGGCAGGCTGATTTTGGGGGGGGGACACCCCACAGATGTTTGGCATCACAGCCTGTGTCTGCTGCAGGGTGCAGGGGTGGCTCCTGCCTACCCCAGACCACCATCCCCAGCCCAGGGGAGCAGCATCCCCTTCTCTGAGACCAGGACAAGTTTAACTCATGTTTCTGGTCACTGGCATTGGCACCCTTGGATCGACGATGTGAGCAGAGGAGCATTGTGCTTCTTCCATTCAACCACGTGGAAACGCTGAGGGTGGAGGATTGCACACAGTTGCCACTGCCACCCAAACACCCTCGTGTCTGCCCTATGGGGTTGCTATCTCCATGGCTTTCAGTGGCACTGCCAAAACACCCCGCAGCTCCCATCTTCAGAGGCTCCCACCCCGGGACGCACAGCTTCTCCCGTCTGAGTGCTGACACTTTGCAAAGGAAGAGCAAATCAAACATCCCACAGTTCTGGTCCCCAGCAGGGTGTGGAGCTGGAAGGGTTTTGCATGGCAGATGCTGCCTCCACTGCCCATGGAGACCTGCCATGGCTTTTGGGACACTATCAGTGTCATCAGAGTAGCTCAGGAGCGTGCCTTCCCCCTGGAGTCAGTACAGATAGGTCAATACAGAGACCAGGAAGCCATGGCCACAGGGGTTGAGCTCAGCTACAACCTCCAGGAGGTACTTTGGACCTTCCCCAGCCTACAGAGACACCAATGAGAGCAGCGAGGGGGAGCAACCTGGCTCCAAGGGGAATAACGGGCTCCATAGTCCCAGGGTGGCACGAGAGGTCCTGGGGATGCACAAAGCCCATGGGCCATGCCTGCACATCCCATGGGGAAGTTTCCAATGTGCCCAACGCCAAGCTCCAGGCAGCAATTTCAACCTGCTTTATAGGCTCAACAAGGGCTCAAGCTGGGAGGTTGAAAATGCAGCGAGTTCCTCTCTTCTTTGATCTTATCTGACACGAAGCTTTGCACAGGCAGGCTGAGCTCTGGCTGAAATGCTGCGTCAGGGGTGCAAAGAGCACTTGCTGGTTACTGGCAGTTACTCCAGAATTAAAGCAGAGGTGCCCAGACTGTGAAATCCATGGCACAGAATGACCTGCACGCTCTTACTTGGATAATCCTCGCTCTCGGATGATGCCCCTCAGCTAAGGTTGTGCTGGGGATGGGAGATGTGAGAGCAACCACGGTCTGTGCCAAGGGATGCACAAATGTGAATGGACTCACGTGCATCTCTCAAACCTAACGTGGCCATGGCTGTGAATAAGTGCATATTGCCTGAATCTGCCTGGACCTATCTATGTTGTGACTAGGAAGTCACAGAGTGCTACCAGGACCACTGCGGGTGAGAAGATGCTTAGAGCCCTCTTGCAGCAGCCGCCAGGCAAGACATGGCCAGGAGAACAAAAGCATTTTTGCTGCATTCTGAGTCTAAAAGATTTTCCTTAAATACAAAGAGAAATGGTTTTCCACTCATAGAAAACACTGCAAAGGTTAAGCCATTGCAGTGCATTTCTAGGAAGGATCTATAGGATATATATCTATATTTCTAGGAAGGCTTATATAAGGCTACTGAGGACAGCGGGCATGGGATGCATGAACCCCATGTGGCAGAGGTGCAGGTGGTGATGTGACCACTGGGAATTCAGCTCCAGCTTTCACGCTGGAGTGATACAGTCCCTGTCCCTGCCCTTAGAGAGCCATGGGGCAGTAATGGATGCTGCCGTGTCCCACTGGCTCCCTAGGCAAGGCAGTACCAAGTGGATCTGTCTTACCTGAGACCCTCTTGCTGATATTCCGACCTGCCAGGTGGACTGCAATCGGCTGCCTCTTCTCCACTGCAATGCAGGAAGGTCGGGGTTATTGGTGCCTTGGCACCCACTGGTTTCCATGGTAGCCCAGGGACTGCTCCACCTTTATTTGTCTATGGGCCAAATCCATCTGAGAGATACAGTCTTTAAAGTCCCCCCCCATCAGCTTGGAGCAAGGCAGGATCTGGCCTCTGTTCAGCCAAGACACTCGGTTGCCTTCAAGGTGGAGCCTTTGGGGGATAAAGCCCATGGAGGAGACTGGGCCCCGTGGAAGAGGATGCGTTCTCTCCTTACCTGCCACAGGGGTCTCGTTCTTGTGCATCAAATGGGGATGCTCGTGCTCGTGGCCTGCAATGCAACAAGGCCACAGATTTAATTGTGGATTCGATTCCATTGATGTAAGCACCTTGGCACCCAGAGCCACCTGCCCTGGTGTCACAGCCACAGCCAGTGCCCCCTCCTCTGCCAGCCCCATTCCATGTACAGTGGTACCCCCATAGGGATGCCCCAAACCCCAACCCCATCCCCTGCCTCTGTGCCATGCCCTGGTGCTGGGCAGGGTGAAGGAAAGCCCTTCCCAGGCCAAGCTACTCCTCCTGCCCCTTCCAAGCCACGGGTGCACTGACAGCACCGGGGAACTCACCTCTCTGCATTTCAAATTTGGGCTGCTCCTTGCTGGCTCCCCTGTCCTGTAACGACAGCAAAAACACATGGGTGGGTTTTAGGGTGCACAAATCCCTCATTTCGAAAGCTTTTGTATAAAGGATGCTCTCGCCACCTCTTGGGTTGGTGCTTTTTGGCCCCAATGGCCCTGCCAGCTCTGTGCAGAGGGTAACACTGAGCCCCCTCTCCAGTACCATCCCCAGCATCACATATGGCCATGGACTGGCTGTTGGCAGAGGCGGATTGTAGGGTTTATGATCTTTGTTAGTTCAGTTAAAATGATGGGATGGGAAAGGCTTATTTGAGAAACAAACAAAAAACCATCTCCTTTTCATTTAAAACCATGCTGGAGAGCAAGCTGGGCACATCCCTGCCCCTACATGAGGGGGTTTTCAGGACTGCTGAGCAGGGCTCATCTTAGACAGTTTTCTGTTGTCAGATGGGTACCAACGCAGACCTGAGGTGTTTGGTGTCATTGGGCATTGACACCCAAATATGAGGAGCCTCTGCACTGGCTGGAGGTACCATCCCTGAGCCCATGGAGTGGCATTTGTACATCCTTCTCCTCACTGTCTGATGGGAGCTGTGCTGCCTGGCCCAAGCCTTGTACCCTCATGGACACCTGGGTGGCCACAAGCATCCCCACAGGATCGGGGCAAGGTGCCAGGCATCAGGAAAAGAACCTTTATCAGACCAGGATGAGAGCACAGAACCAGGGTGGCTGCAGCTCCATCCCTCCAACCACAAGCTCTAAGCATCATTCCGCAGGGATCCCACCTGCAGCTGGATGTGTGCTGACCAAAACCATTTTGAGGCAAAACTGGAGGAGAATATTCAATTCTATCAATAGAGTATAAAAATAGAGTGTAAAACTAACCCAGTGTAAAGAGGGGCATGTGCTGTGCAGCCCCAGGGCAAAGGGCACCCATGGGGTGAAGCTGGCTGTGTGCCTGGAGCCCTCCTCCATCTTCAGTGTGGTCTTTATATATCTAACAGCAGCGTACCTTGCACTGGAGGTCCTGGAAGGCCTTTAGAATCTTTTCACAGTCCAATATGGTTGATTTCTGGCCTTCTGCTGTCTGACACTTCTGTACTTTCCTCAGGAAGATGTAATCCTCATTCAGGTCCAACACCTCTTCCATCTGCCGATGTGGGAGAAAAGAGAGGGTGAATGGGGTGTAAGTGGGAAACCTGCAATGGCTGTATTCCTGCCAGGGATATATCACAGCCTGGAAAGCTCAGGGTCAGTTGTTCAGCATTGGGATGAGCCGGGCAGACAGACTGTGGGTACCAAGTACTCCCACCAGCCGCCCGGTACGGCATCCGCACCCGCATCCACTGGGAATTGCTGACCCTGGTTGGTACCACTGGCTAAGAGGAGGATTACTCAGGATCCCTTTGTGTTTTCTATCACCTTGATCATGAATTTCAGTTTCCCACTGTGCTTTTTCCAAAAGGCAAGTGGCAAAATTCCACCCGCCTGCATTGACAGGCACAGAAATCTCAGCGACTGGCTCGGTCCATCCCAGCTCGGATCCAGCTGGGATTCTCCCTCAACTCCACACTGCCCTGCCCATGCAGGGTGTCATTCCATTGTTTCAGATTGCTTATTGACTAAAAGAGCAGCCAGGGGACCAAAAGAACCTGTGGGTTGGGGCTGAATTCTGCCAAGAGCTTCAGAATAAAAAGAGCCATAGAGATAGATAGATAGATTAGATAGATAGATAGATAGATAGATAGATAGATAGATAGATAGATAGATAGATAAATGGATAGATGATTGATAGATAGATAGATAGATAGATAGATAGATAGATAGATAGATAGATAGATAGATAGATAGATAGATCGATCTGCATCTCAGCTACCTCTGGGGACCCTCTACTCATCCCTTCACCCCAGGCTGCAAACTCCATGCAGTAAAGTCTCCTTCCACCGCCCTGTCTTTTCAGCCTCTCTAGTTCAGGGTTGCTTCCTGCCCTTGAAGATCAGAAGTCACCCACTTAAATGTCAATTTAAGTTGAGACAGCGTGTTTAAAAAACACAAATGATGATCTGATCATTGTATCTGGTACAGAGAACTCGTTCTTGGGTTTAGACACAGTCCATTTCTTAAGCTGGTTTCTGGTTTGGAGGAAAGTAGCTTCAGATGATTGGTGACTTTAAGCATCGTGCAGTCATGGCAATACCAAACCCAGCTTTTTAGCTTTTAATTCTTTGGTAAATATTGTCCCAAGTAGATGACACAGTCACCAACACCGTGTCTCTTCACTAAAAGGCCAAGCACTAAGGTCCACTTCTTTTCTCTAACCAGAAAAACAGCATCTAAGGTGGGATGTTGGTCAAATTCACACATACAAACACTAAAAAAAGCTGCATTTCTGGACCCCTCCCCAATCCTCATGATGAGTGTTACCAGAAAATCCACCAACAAACTTAAAATAGCCCCTTGTGTGTTTAAGCCACACTCTTCTTTCCCTGGACTGGCCATGGTTTGCTATTAATGGATCTTCTTCATCGATCCATTCTTGTTCTGTTAACAAAGGGAACAGGTTTCTTCCTTACATACATCTTCGTGGCAAATTAAAACAGAAATGAGAACATGGGTGCAATAAATGCCACTCCTGCATCCATCCAGTGTCCGGCATCATCTTCTACCATGCTCATCCTTTGGGTGAGCACATCTCACCGCAGCGGAAGGCAAATCGCGTTAGCAACCCAACGCAGACCACCTTATTTCTCCACTTACCTTATCCATCTTCATGTGAAGATACAAACAGAAGAGCACGGTCCCGATTGTCTGCGCTACAATAAATAGAGCGAGGAAGCCCATGAGCATTTTCATGGTGCTGGGCGAGGTGCTGCTCATGGCTCGGGGCGTCGCAGGGCTGTAGGGTTCGTTCATCCTCCACGCGCGGTGCTGGGGCTCCTTCAAATGCACCGCTTGCAAGTAGCATGAGAACTGTTGCGTGAGCACCCGCTGCTCAAGGGATACAGGCTGCAGCAACCTACACTTCCTGGAAAAACCTCTTCGTAGTGGGTAGGTTTGTTCACTGCCATCTCCCACAACAAAAGAAGGTTGCTTCGACTTTCTTCTCTGGTGCACTTCCATGCTTTTTTCCTATCTCTCAACCAGAAGCAGAGATATATTATTCCATATATTCATATTTGCCCTCGAAACACTCCAAACTATGCCCCAGTGGTTGTTTTTTTTTCCTGCTGTGGATGAAAGTTTCATGACAAATTGCCGTCAGAGAAATGGAGACCATGAATACAAGGACAGAGCTGCTGAACAGGGGCTGGGGAGCACCAGAAAATCAGTGGTTTCTCAAAAGGGGAAGAAAGCTTTTTTACCCTCTGTTTCCTTCACAGGAAGGGTGATTTTGCAGTGCATACACTTGGCAGGTTGAGCTGCTTTCTGGCCTTCCCTTGTGCTCCCAATGGGTGACGTCTCTCCTTGGGTAGGCTGGATGATGCTGGAGAAAGGACCATCTCCATGGGCACTGCACCTCTAGTGTGGGCACAGCTTTCATGCTCCTCAATAGACAGTGGGACTTTGGGTCTTGGTGCTTGGCATCACTTTGGAGAGATGAGTTTTAAACAGCTTCGGTGACACCATAGTGAGGTGCTCACCCTGCACCCAAGGGCACAAGCCATCACAGACTCTGTCCTCACTTACCCATGTTACCTCCACCTACACAACTGGGCATGAAAAGGGCTGTTGGGGGTGCTGGTTGCTGACCCCCCAGCATCACCTCCATGCAACTTTGGGCAACCCATATCCCCTCTATGTACTCACGCCTCCCCAGCCAGCAGCAGGGAGGCAAGATCCTGCCCCCAGGCTCTTCAGGCATCTGATGCTTGTGCAGCCATGCACCACCAATAACGCAGTGTAAATGCAGAGGGGTCTCACTGCTTGCAGCCTCAGGAGAGGAGAGGAGGGTGCACAGCACCTCGTCAGGGCTGCTCAGAGCACTGCAGGATGGAGTCCAGCAGTCGCTTTTGCTACCTACCCTCTCCCTCGCATCCTGTCCTGTGTGGTTAGGGCGTTCGAGCTGCAAATGCAAGAGCTGGTAACAGAGCACAAACATCTCTGCAGCCTTGACAGGTCACCCTGCTCCTAAATATAGCACCCAAATCACACGTGTGGGATGGCACCTTCGTGGGCAGTGGTAGGCAGAGGCCCTGGATGGTGCTTTGGAGCCTCACCATGCCAGGACCGTCACCCCTCTGCAATGAGGGGAGCTTTGGGATGGGGCTGCCAGCACCAGGGCAGCTCCCCAATGTCGGTTTTGCCTTCTAGAGGAGAAAGTGGCCTTGGGGTCCCAGCTCCTGTGTGCCCATGTCCCAAGGGATGCTCACATGCCCTCAGCATCCAAGGGCTGCCTTGCTGTCCAGACCACCAGGGCTTCCCAAGCACCACAGGAGCATCATCCTGACAGCAATGAGGTGACCCAAACAGTGCTGGGGATGCACAGTGTTGGGTTGCAAAAGGGGGTCCCCCTTAGCTTTGATGGGCTTTAGACCTGGTCCCTTGGGCTTGAAGCTCTGCTGTACATGGGATCAAGCCCACACACAGCCTGGGGGCACTGCTTTCAGTCCTTTATGTGTTAAAATGGGCTTTATCTCTGGACAGACACTGGCAAAACCTGCCCCAACGTCCTCGCAGGGGTCTGGTCAGACATCAGGCTCCCGCACACGGTCCCTGCCACGGTGAGCTTGCCACATGCAAAAAGCCATTTCATGGCTCCCCAGAGACTCCCCCTGTGCATCAGCCTCACGGTGCTCACCAGCATTTTCCAGGCTCTTCCTCTGAATTTAACACTCACGTTTGGGGGAGGTCTCTACAAAAGGACATGGGCAGTCATCGCTTCACACATTCCCTGAATCCAGAGCATCAGGACTGAGAGGCAGCGATAACGTGCAAAGCCACATCAATAAGCACTGCAGAGAGCAGCAGGGGAGGATTTACACTGCTATTCCTGAGCCCTGGCTTCTTCTCAAAGCCGTTTTTGGATCTCCCCCTCTCGCTGTTTCACTGAAATGAGAAGAACTCGGAGGTAATGCCGGAAACCCCAAATATTGTTGGCCCCACTGCATCCAGCTTGCTGGGGAGGCCGGAGCTGTTGGCAGCTTCACGGGAGGATGCTGGGTTCGGTGAGGAGGATGGGGAGAGGCTCAGGGTTCAGGTACCCGGTACAAAGCATCATCGGAGGGTTGGCCCGCTTGTGCTGCACACCATGAAACTGAGAGTTGCTCGTCACTGTCACCTTGACGGGAGAGACCGGGTGGAAAGTGTGACAGCAGGGATCCTGGCAGGGGTTTGTCAGCGTGGAGAGCAGGCTGGCAGCTCTCTGCAGGAAACCATTGCTCCACACTGGCAATCCAGCCCTAGATGGCACAGAGCAAGCCCTCTGGAGCTGCATCCACCACCCCACATCACCGGGTTGGCTGCGTGGATGGTAAGGGTAGGGAGAAAGACTCAAGACCTGTGTTAGCCCATGGCAAGGCCAGGTAGCATCATGGCTGCATGTCCTTGACCCCTTGACTGCTGTAAGAACATGGGGGAATGGCTTTAACCTGCCCGAGGGGAGACTGAGATGAGCTCTTAGGCAGAAGCTCTTCCCTGTGAGGGTGCTGAGGCGCTGGCACAGGGTGCCCAGAGAAGCTGTGGCTGCCCCATCCCTGGCAGTGTTCAAGGGCAGGTTGGACACGGGTTTGGAGCAAGCTGCTCTAGTGGAAGGTGTCCCTGCCCGTGGCAGGGGTTGGAGCTGGATGAGCTTTGAGGTCCTTTCCAACTCAAACCAGTCTCAGTTTCTATGCTACAGCCTTGGGGAACAGGGCATGGTTGAGTGCGATGATAGGAAGGAGTGCCCAGCAACAGAGGGAAGAGTCTGCCCGCATAGGATAACATCAGGGAAGGTGAAGTCACACCTTCACCATCGATGAGCTCAGCTACAGGGTTTTCTTTCAGTGCCCAAACCCTCTGCCTGTAACCATGCCCATCCACGTGCGAGCCCAGACTGGCACAGCTCCTCCGTACATCCCACCCTGGCCGAGATGATGGGAAAATGTGATCCATCGCTTGCATTCCTATTGACCCAGTCGTGCTGTTTCCGCTCATCAACAACACGTTTTCTCCACTTGTCCTCGGTGCTCACAGCTTTGTATACTGAGAAAACATCCGCTCGCCTGCCCGGGAGCGCTTCTGAAGGCAGCGAGGTGAAAGCTGCTGAGAAAGGAGTGATTTCATTTGGCCTGCGATGCCCACTGTGGTTTCGTGTCAAGCTCTTTCAGCTGCGCTGCTCACCCCGAATGCTCTCCACAAGTAACAGAAGCTGGGTGCAGGGCAGGGCTGAGAACAATGCATTCAAAAGGGAGATGCTGTTTTGAGTCACCAAAGCAGTTTGGCTGCAATGCCGTGGGAGGGATGCAGAAGGGAACCTATGAGAGAAACCCCAATGAAGTTCCTTTAGCACAGGGCCGCTGGCAGAAGGGGAAGTTGAGCTTCCCCACCATTTGCTTTGTCACTTCTTTAGGTTTTTCCCTCTCCTGTATCCTCTGAGCTCTTGTATCTCCAGGACAACGCCATCAACAGAGAGGAAGAGGGAACAGACATAGCCAGAACACCGCAGAAAGCATCATCAGCATCAGGAGAAGGAACGGTTGCGTGGCAGTTTCCATTCCTTTCTCACCTTGGTAAGAATGAGAGAAGGCTCTTGGAGCGCAGAGCAGCAACAGGCAGCCTCAGGGAGAGCTGAAGGTGCCAGTGCTTGCAGCGTTCATGTCTCTCTGTGCAAGAAGAGATGCTGGTTGTAGCCGCTATGGTGGTAATGGCAGGCTGCAGGGCCGTGGTGAGCCATGGAGACATCCATGAGGAGGCCAGCAGAAGCTCCAGGCTCCATCAGACATGAACGCGAGCTGGACCCTGCTCCTGCTGCCCTGCAGCTTGATGGGAGCAGGGTGCAGAGCACCACCTCCACCTCATTTTCCCCAGAGGCATCTGCCCCTTCCAAGCCACCCTCCAGAGCAGCAAAGAGCAATGGGAAAGAGCTGCAGGGAATGGCATTGAGGTGACGCTGTCCCTCTGATCCACCCTGCTCAATGGCCATCATCCCCTGTACCCCCTTCCCTCCTCGCTTCCCTGTCCTCCTGTACCACCCATGGGTGTCCTTTCCCAAGGGATCAAAGTGGCTGGAGAGCCAGGAAAGGCACAGAAACAAGCCCCAGGGACCCCACAGAGGATTAAGGACCCCAAAGGGGCACATGGCTTCCATGCCATAGCAGGGTGGTGATGCCAGCCTTGCTGTGCTGAGCCATGGAGAGCACCCACCCCCTAAACTGCTGCTGCTGAGCCTCACCAAAGCTGTGAAACCACAGATTGCACCAGAAACTTCTTGCTGTGTCAGCTGCACCTACTTCTGGCTTCCTAAAAATAGAGCCTGGTGGGGGGAACCCCTGCCCTGCCAAAGAAGCCCCTGCTGCCTGAGTCACAGCGGAAGGGACCGGGAGCATCCCATGTATCTCCCCTCACTCAGCCAAGCACCAAAAGCAGCTTCCAGGGGTGCTGGAGCCTGTGACCATCAAAGCTACAGCGAAACCCTGTGGGGCTGGGTCCTGGAGGATGCTGCTGCAAGCACTCCATGAGCTCCACGTTTCCAAAGCCAGCCTTGCCCATGGCAAAGCCACCCAACCTCAAGCTCTCGCAGCCCCATGGGGATCCCCAGCCACATGGGTGGTATGTGCCCCTAGGTCAGGGTTTGCGTGCTGCCCTAAGGAGGGTTTTGCTGCTCTTGGCCAAAGCTAGAACCCCAGCCTGGTTTGGGACAGAAGGGACCTTAAAGGGATGGATGGAGGCCAAGGATTTTGGGTGGATGTGGGAGGTGGGTGAGACACAGCCTTTCCCTCTGTAGCCAGAGATTTGAAGTGAGCCCTTGTGCTCTGGGCTGGCTCCATGGCCCCAACACATCCTGCAGCAAATGTGGATCCTGACTGGAAATGACCAAGAGATGGGCAATGTCCCTGGGTTGGTTTAGCAGCCAGTGACTTC